TTGAGGTGGAGGAGACTCTGGACCTGGCAAAACTGAACAGTTGGTTGGATCAGATGAAGGAAACAACTGTCTCTGTTGAGGTCCCTCGCTTTAAGGTGGAGCACAGCTTCAGCTTGAAGGAGAAGCTTAAGGAAATGGGATTGACTGACCTGTTCAGCTCTGACAAGGCCAGCCTGCCAGGTACTTAAACCTGAACTTTGGATCTCAGTCCAAAGTCCACATCAACTGAATTAAAAGTGAATTTGAGTATTATTTTTGATTATACCATTACATAATCAAATATAATTGTTATACATGTTATTCAATTATATTTGGTCAATCTGGTCAAACATGATACATTTGGTCCAAACATTTAACAGTCTGAACATGTTTGGAATTTGGGGAAACCTGCAGTCAGCGGAGACTGAAGAAGTCACTTGGATGAGTGACGAAACATTTCTCCCACTGAAAACGCTACGTCCAGATGAACAGAATCAACTTTGGGGGATTTACTTACCTGGATGAATGAGCATGCATCAAGACGAAAGGAAGACTGAAGATTCATGTCATTTAAATCAGGTTTTGATGCAAACATAAATGGAGGAGACCCTGCAGCATGGTGTGTTTTCATGGCTTCTATTAAGTGGTCTGCGTTTTTATTCTGAATATAGAAGGGAAGCAGAAAAAGTCAACTTGACCTGTTGTTGGTTTTGATTATGGCAGTTATAAATGAACAGTTAAGAAAAACCACAAAATTCCTTCTGTGTTTCAGGGATGCTGGAGGATAGCAACTTTGGCCTCTACATCTCAGATGCCTTCCATAAAGCTTTCCTGGAGGTCAGTCAAATACTATCTACATCACTTAGAGCATGTTTTACATTATACAAGTCCTTTTTTCCAAGTGTGGGTCGGGACCATTGACTGTATTCGAATGATCAGCGTAGCTTCCAGGTCTGAGAAGCAAAGCCAATGCAGAAGTATAAAAAGAAATTGTTTTCCTATGAGCTTGCAGGTTTTCTTGGTTATTTCAGTCCTGAGATGGTAAAAAACATGACAAACTGGTGGGTGATGGCTACATACATTTCTACATACTATGATCAGGACTAAGGGGTGCTTCTGTAATGAAAGACCACATTTGAGTGGTAGTGTTTCCATTTTAAATGTTTTTATTTTATTTTATTTTTTTAACGATTTGTCCTGAATTTCCAGACCTTTTTTGGAAAAAATGTTTTTCCCTTAAATGTTATTTTGGGCCTTTTTTTGTATATCATTTCGTTTGGTATTAAAACATAAACATCTAAATCCATATTGGTATCCTGACAGTTGATATAAATTCAGAGAGATGCATTTATACGAGTTCATCTCTCAGACACAGGTTTTGATTTGAGTTAATAAGCAACTGTGTGTGCTGTTGCAGGTGAATGAGGAGGGCAGTGAGGCGGCAGCAGCCACCGCTGTGGTGGCCGTTGGACGCTCCTTCAATCCGTACAGGGAGGTTTTTACAGCCGACCGGCCGTTTCTGCTGCTCATCAGAGAGTCCATCATCAACACACTGCTATTCACCGGCCGTGTGGCTGATCCCTGCAACCAATAAAACCCTACACATGAAGCGATCACTGCTTTGTTAAAAGCCGCAAATCGTAAAAATATAGTAATAAATATTTCAAAATGTAAATATACTGCATAACAATTCGGCACTGTGCTGTATGATGTGGAGCTAATGCAAACTTCATTTTACAACATTATACACTACACACTCAAGAGTGGGGCTTTTGATTTTTAGCCAAAGTTTTAGACGTTTGTTCTGTACTTCAACTTCATTTCATTTAATTCCATCCATCCATCTGCGGTGGCAGCAGCCTAAGCAGAGAAGCACAGTCCTCCCTCTCATCAGTCACTTCCTCCAGCTTGTCCGGGGGAACACCAAGGCGTTCCCAGGCCAGCCCGCTGGTGTATGGTGCCTTGGTGCTTCTCCCTCATTTCCCAACAACACATCACAGCAGTTAGATTTATCCAAGCTTGGGACCGGCGCCGGGAATCCACTAGCTGATCACCCCTGAGGATGGGTTCATGTCTCCTCTTCCCGGTCTCAAATCAGCGATCAGGGTGACTTAGAAAAGATGCAGCTTTCAAAAGTGTTTCCACAGTAAATGATTTAAGTAAATAAATGCAAAACAAATGAAATAACAGTGTTGCTGAATATCTCTGCCTTGAGATACTCACCGTGGCTTCAGATGAAAAAGAACTGAACATGAAAAGAGACCACATGAAGGACAAGAAGCATCTGCCCTGTCAGCCCGAACTCAGCTTACTGAAAACCATCCAGATTCTCCACAAGGACTGGAAAAAAAAAAACCCATCCACACCTGACAGAGTGCCAAGAAACGAGAGGATTTACATCCAATAACTTAAAATATTAAAGAGCAGAAAATCTTAACGCATTAAAATACTTTAATTCTGAGCGTTTTGCTGCAATAACAACAAACTTTTTTTTATTTTTATACATTTTTTTTAATTTTTAGTAGTAGTAGGAGTAGTTGCAGTATTCAGTTTGAGGCACTTCTAAACATGTTCATGGAAAACAGGTGAGAGAGTAGTGCTCAATTCCAGATGTGTGTGTCACGTTCACACGCGCACGTTTGTGAATGCTGCTGGAGACAGAGGCGAGTCGGTGGCATTTGTCACTTAAAGTGCTTTATTTCCTTTGAAGGAGATGCAACCTGTGAGTGATCTAGTGGTCATAGTGAAAGTAAGCATCTTCACATTTATCTAAACTAACTGACCTTTGGCCTCACATCCCCCCACCCTCCCACACCCTCCACCAACATGATTTAGCAATAGACATGCAACATAAAAGATGTTCACATAAAACCTTTCAGGTTCATCTACTACAGAACTTAAGTACTTCCTCTTCAAGAAAAAAAAAAAAGTACAGTATTAAAAGTTAATTTACTATCTAAAATTTGTTTACTTTGACTTATTTTCTGCATTGATATATTAGGATATACTCTGAGGAATCAACATTAAAGAGTTATTACGTGAATATAGTTAAATGATCAGATTCATGGTTAGGCATGTTGTGGTCAATGTTACTGGATATTCATGTGCTAAACACTGGATTTATCCAGGTAGGAAAAAGAAAATTTAGACTGCACCTATTACAAGAGAATTAAACTTTAGCATTCTGAATAAAGCAAATGAGCTGGAACCTTGACTGACTCAAAGACGTGAGGATCATGAGGAGGTTCTGCTGTTTTTCACAGTTTGAGGATGAAAGCGGATCCGGACATGAGAAATCACTGAGGAGGAAAAGTCTGATTTGGGCCATCTGTGTTTAAAGCAAACGTAGCTGAAGTAACGGTGAACACTGCGATGAGCCTTAACATTTACTCATGTCTGACTCATTACTGCGTCGCTCGTGTTGTTGAGCATAATGACAGAGACTGTTTGTGACTCCAAGGGATTGGGCAAACAGCAGATACAGGCCAGTTTACTTCAAAAACTGACGAGTGAACAACATTTAAGAATGCTAGGCGAGGCCATTTCACCGAGGTTGGTTCAGTTGAGCACCTTCCCTCTTACAGTTCAGTGTTCACTACACTTCACAACCCATTTTGGGTGAATTGAGACACATTTGCTTGCTTTACCAAGTGTTTCTTAATATTTTTGCGTATAACTATACAAGTCTGATGTACAACAGAATGATAATTTGAATATAGACTAAAATCTGTCGCATCTATTTCCACTGGACAGATTCATGAAGATTGGGTTGTTGTTGGTGCCTTATAGGCAAACTGTCAATGCTGCATGTTTGAGCAGAGAAAGACTTGGTTGAGCGATTCTCTTATGATCAAGTTTGAAATGCAGTTGTTTCTGAATGCAGCTCTAAGCCAACTTTTCCTGCTGTAGATTTCTCAAGTAGGACCACACTGAACCAGAAGGGAGCAGCTTGTTACCAGCAATAACTTGAAATGATGTATTGCTCAGTGAAAACATGAAGTCTTCCCTGCTTTCCTTCAACTCAGAGCAAAGAGGAGGAAGCAGAAACAGAACGTGAAACACAAAAAAGAAGGCCGATCTGTTTGTTCCTGGATCTACGGTGGTTGGAAACCCCAAGTTAATGTCTTAATGCTGGAACAGGTCAACATGTGCAACTCGAATCTTTTGTTCTGTGTCAGAAATGTCTCTTTGAAGTACTTCTCGTGATCACTGCTCTAAAAAAAATTCTATACATTGGATAATTCCTGATAAATGTAAAACACAAAGTGAACCAAAATGAACCGGACTTCTTATGAAACACATGAAGAAACGCTCAGGTCTTAAATCGTCTACATGATGTCGGTAATTGAATCAACAGAGGGGCTGAATCCTGACCTGTGCAGAAAATATTATTGAAGGTGAAAAAGTGTTTCGGGCTACGCTTTCTGGTACTGGACTTTATATATGATAAAACAAGTATATGCATCTGGGATTTTACGAAAATGGTGGCACACCCATTTCTTTTAGTTTTTTTTTCTTTTGGGTGGGGTTTCTCAGAAATAAAAGGCATTTTTGTTGGTCAATGGCCAGAAACAGCAATACAATGCTGAAACAGTCTATCCTATGTCTAGTTGATACCCTGAAAAGGCCCACTCTGCAGCAGGAAAGCCCTGTACCTGTGGATTTGTAATTCACGTTTAAACACAAGAAGAAATAGCAGGTAATTGCCAACGTCTTCTTTTTAGCCTTATATCAACAAAACTAAAGAGTTCCACACTTAAAAGTCCTCAACTGCTATAATACCTACTGAGTATGGATTACTGTTGGGTCTACCTTACAATATAAAGCGCCTTGAGGAGACTGTTGTTGCGATTCGGCGCTGTATAAACTGAATTGAAATTGAGACGAACATTATTTTGCTAACATAACATGTTAAGACTACAATAAAATGGATACATTTGACCTGAAAAATGATGCAGGAAATAACACAAATACACAAATGTACTGTAAAGTCACGTGTTGGCTGCTGCTAGATGCGGGTTCAGGCAAATGACTTGAGCTGCTCTTTGTCATGTCACATACCTCCCAGCACGTTGCACTGTTTAATCTGTATAATCACGGCAGGTTTTAAAAAGTTTTTAATCAGCTCCTGATTTGAATGTGATGGAGCCATGTTGAAATACTAAATACCTTCCAAAAGTAATGTCCATTTAGGGGAATTTGTTCAAAGAATTTGATTATTAATTAGCAGCTAAAATCATTTGATTGTCACTTTATGGAACATGAAATATTCTATAAATGTGCTTTTCCCCGTTATTCTGTAGGGTACAATACACAGCACCTTGGGGTGACTGTTGAATGGAACTTAATTGAATAACGTTTGCTTAATTTTATGCAATATTTCCTGCACGAGTCATTGTATTCAGCCCCTTTTGGTTGCTTCTAAAAGTCGCGATTTCTCTCAAAACACCTGCTCAAAGTCACGTTCCAGCCCAACACAGCAGACAAAACTTAAACATCTGTTAGAGGCAAAATCACCACATACTTAAACACCGACCCAGACTGTGGGAGACATCCACACAGTCTGTGGAAAGAGGTCTTGAGGTCACCATGCTCATTTCTGTTTCATATTTCCCAGTCTTGGTTTTGCCGACCTCTACGGCGACTCATGAGGATGCCTTCCCTGCTGCTTTTTTTTTTGTTTACAGGTAAGTTTTATTTCTGCAGCGTGCATACTGCACTGAGGTTTAGCTGTTAGCATACTGCTACGTGGGAAAGGTAAACATCCAATTCTTTGAATAAAAGAAAAGAGTTTGTATACCTGATATCCTGGTTAGCCTGAAGTGTGAGCCTAGCGGCAGTGGCTGCAGTGGCATCTGGGACAAAATCTCCAATCACTCGATTGAGGACAGAGCCGCTGGCTTCACTTGCATAAAAAAATTGACCATCCACTGAGAATCTGTTTCACAGCTCTGTAGAAGAAAACAGTAACAGTCCATCTGTGTGCTACCTGCCTACTCCTAGCTTGTTTACATTAATCATATTTAAAAAACAAAACAAAAACATCTTAGTAGTTTAAATACATTTGTCTTATAATGTGTGTAGATTTGTTATTGTTCTCTTGTTACAAAAACTTTGTGACCTTCTCGTTCTCCCTCATTGATAAGAGGTTTAGTTGTTTTGGCGTTTTGAGGGGCCCACACAGCCACGCCATCTTTCCTTTGGTTGCCAGATAGTCCGACCTGCTCCCGCCCGCCAACAGGTCAACTCTGATCACAGGAGGCTTCTGAAGTTCAGCTCCATGGCCTGGCCACTACATCCATCTGGTCTATCAGGGTTTGGCTTGTCAATATCCAATCAACGTTCATCCAGATCAGAACCATCTATTGTCAGTGACGCATTACCTCTACTGCACTCCGTACACAAAAACGAAGCCAAGGTCGGGTAACGTGTTCTGTTTATGTATTCAAATGTATATATTTTGTGGTCTACCTTTTTAGGTGAAGACTCCATTTCTGAATGTTGAGACATTTATCCTCAACAGTGTCTGAAATGTCACAGTTTCATGTCTGTGACATCAGGAGTGAAGGTGAGGTCATCTGTGGCAGTGCTGTGGTGCTCAACAAGTTACAGAAGGATTTTTGAACTCTCACAAAACTAATATTTTTAATAGGTTAAATAAGGCAAGCATATTAATGTATTATTTTATGATCTTTACTATCCGGTAAAAAACAAACAAACTTCAAGAC